TGAAAATAAAGGTGTTCATTATGCTGGCAGATGTGAATGTCAAGCTATACAATTAAATAGAAAATGTCTGGAATTGGCAACTTTAATTGGATCTAAAGTGAGGGGGATTTAAATATTATTAATTTCCTTTTAAGATTTCCTTTAAGTAAGTGTTAGCCAGTGTTTTATCAACTTATAAACATTCCGTTTATATCATTCGTATATCATTTCATTTTTAGTATTAGAAAGTTAAATGTCTTACTAGAGATAAAATTCAAAAATTAATTTTTTTCTTAAGCATGCAATGATGGAATGCCATTCTCGCCTTTACGATCTCTATAGGTTAAAAATTAATATTTATATTTAATTTTTAAATTAGATCGAACCTCTCTATAAGATAAACCTTTATTTTTTAAATTTGAATATCGTGTCGAATATCGAATTTGGATATGCAGAGATTCTCTAGGATCCATCAATCCTGTAACTGACCTAAAATACCCAGAATTTAAGATACACCTTCTTATACTATAAAATTTCCAGCCCTAAGGGTTTATCTTATAGGCAGGTTCGATCCTTTTTCTATTTCTAAAAATTAAAAAAAATTTTTTAAGTCAATTATCTGACGAAGAAAATTCAACAGAATCCAATAGACAGCAAAGACATTTGATCCAACAAATGGAGCTTTTTTGTAATTTTTGTGGTCAGCGTTACGGAGAGATTGAAGAATCATTACAAGCACTTAATTGTTCCCATATATTCCATGAAAAGTGAAATTTTTTAAGGAAAAAAATTTCAAAAATTTTTTTAGGTGTCTACAAAAATATCTTTTGACTAATGGAGATGGCCCTTATTCGTGTCCAAAATGTAGAATGGGAACTAGCTTATTAGAAAACATATCTCTTTCATCTTCTACTGCTCAAACACCTGTTGATACTTGTAAAAAATTTTATTAAATTTTCTAAAAATTTCTCATAAATTTCGAAAAGATTTCTGGTTCCGAAAATTAATTTATAAAATTCGTACTTTTCTGGGTATTTAAAAAAATTTATTGGAAAAAGTAGTCAATCGAGAATCCGGTCCCGAAATCTTGGGAAAACTAAATTTTTCCCAAGGTGATTTTATCGGGATTTACCTATCTATCTTTATCCGATCACTAAAGACATACATACTTTCTCAAATTAGGTGAACGGAGGTGAGAGAAAGGGAGAGAGGGGGGGGGGCATTTCGAAATTGTTATTTTTCGAGGTTTCTGACTTTTTTCCGGTTTTCGAAAATTTTTTAGACAGCGGGAATGTGGAGGGGAAGAGAATTTCCTGAACGATATCCCTAATAATTGATAAAATACTCGAATTTATTAACCATTTACCACCCACAAGGATGCTGCAAAATTAATTTCTTTTCATATCTTCTCAAGAAAATTTTGATTTAAAAATTCCTAAAATAAATTTTCCTTCAAATTTCCTCAATTTTCTAGCCGAATTTATTTGTTCCAACATTCCATCAACTTCAACTGCTTTCCTCAAATCATCCACTACAACAACCAAAAACCCCACACCTTTAATATTTTGTGAAAGAAATTTTGTTTGTTTTTCCTTTCAAAAATTTCGAAATTCAAAATTTTAAGGAAGAAAATCCTTATTGTTGGTCTTCCCCAACAAATGTTTGTATAGAAAATCCAAAATGTCAGATTGATCTTTCTACTTCAACAAATTGCTCTTTTACTGTCCCAACAGTTATTAAACAACAAGAATTACAAAATAAATGTAAAGATATTAGTAATAGAAGGAAATCTGCTCCCGTTGATTTAGTTGTAAATATTGTAGATAATACTGAAGGGCAAGGAGAGAAAATGAAAGGTGACTAGAAATATTCAATTAAAATTTGAATTCACCTAAATTGACTCAAGGCTTGTCTTGTAGATAATCTTGTCCTCCACAATAATTATGTCCTTTATTTTATCATCCACAGACATATGAAAGTTTATCATATCCAGATCATATAACCTCCTTTATCCTCCACACTAGTATTGACTAGAGATAGTCAATACTAATGTGGAGGGACTGAGATTTGAGAGAGAGAGACTGAGACTAATGTGGAGGGACTGAGGACTCAGAACTGAGATCGGGACTGAGATTTGTTTGAGATAACTAACTCGATTCTGTTACGATATTACCAGTCCGTTCTCTAGTAAAGACCTTTATAAGAAAAAGCTAGGCGCTATGTACATATGTATGAACGTGTTGAACTTATATCCTTGTAAATTTATAAACGGAATGACAAATCTGAACTTATAACTTCAAACAAAAATTCCCCTTCACCATTTTTTCTTCCCCAACTAAGTACTATCAAAGCCGGAACTTCAGAATCGTTTGTCGTAATTTTCAAAAAATACTAATCGGTTCTTTAAAAGTGTTTGTATAACGAGTTAATTTTTCTTTTGATCAGCTAGTAAAATTACTAAATATTTCAGATATTCAATCATTCCCTAGAAGAAAATCGGAACAAAATGTCAAACAACTTCGAATAAAAGAAGAAAATAAATTAACAGAAAATAATATTTTAACAATGCCAAAAATTCAAAAAACAACAAATGGGGGAAGATCCAAAAGAATATTAAAGAAAGGAGGTAAAATAGCTATTAGCCCTGTTGTCGAGGAAGATGAAGAAGAAGAAAAGGAAGAGGAAGAAGATATGAAGGAAACACAAAGGATGAATAGTGGAAGGGGAGTTACTGAGCTTTAAAAAATTATTTTAATTTTTGTTTATCTTGATAAAATGATAATTTTTCTTTTTAATAAATTCTAAGAAACAACTATTGATAGCAGTTTAGAAAAAAAATTACAAAGGATCAGGAAAAATAATTTTTAAAAATTTCTTTTTTTGGGGAACCGAACAGAAAATCCTCCGTTCTTTTAGTTATATTTTAGTGGTAACTGAAAGAGTATCTGATATACCCAGATCAGGGTTTGATTTTTCGAACCGTGCCGACGTTCGAGCATTTATTAGGGCCTCATTTTTATCGAACCGGGCCGTCCGAGTATTTTTCGGGCCAAAATTCGAGGCCCGGTTCGATCTTTAAACCCGAACCGAAACGGGCCCCTAATCCTAATCTAGATCAAGTATTGTTAAAACTTTGATCACTGATCATCAGATCAGAACCTTAAAAAATTTAACTAAAATTTCTTTAGTTGTTAACTTTAATTTTTTCAATTTTCCTTCAAATCCAAACAAAATTCCTAAATACTTGTTATTATTTGCAGAATAAAATGATGCAATTTTTCGTTATTTTCTGTCATTTAAAAAATATTTTTTTAGCATTTATTTTATAATAAAACTAAAAATATATTTATTTAAACAAACAAAACTAAAAATAAATAAAAAATAATAAACTACAAAATTTTCAATTGAGGTAAAAGGCAAACAAAAGGGGAGAATAAGGGAGAATTGAAGGGGAGGAATATTAAATTGAGGTGAATTGAGGGAATATAAATGTAAATGTAAAGAAGTATTTAAAGATTTTGAATGGGGTTGTTAGTTGTTGGAAACATTTTTGGATATCCAGAACCAGTCAGAAAATCCTCAGTTATTCAGTTCAGTACCTGATAGAGATCAGTATTTTTAAAAAATCTGAATCTGGATTTAGGTTAGTTACCTGGACTGGATTTTGGATCTAGAAAAATCCAGGACGATCAAAAAATGCCTGGATCTGGACTCTAGATCCAGGCAAAATCCAAACTGGATCCAGACCGATCTCTAGTAATTAACCGACCGACCTAATCTTCAATAGGAGAAAGCACATTGCGTTTTCGTTATTTTTAACAAAATAACCGCAAAAAACGCAAACATATGAAAATCTGCGGATAAAAAAAGTAGGAAATATGGCCCTTGGTCTAATGGAATATGTTGCGCGTTTGCTTTTTTGAACCAACTTTTAAGCTTACTCCTACTCTTGACTACATACTACTACTACAAACAAACTATAAACTTTTATGTAGTATAAATTTTATTTTTAATTTTCTTTTGAAAATTTTTTTGAAAATTTTCAAAAAATTTCTTTTGAAAATTTTTTTGTGTTTCTGGTAAAAAATTTTTTTTAAATTTTATATTGATTTTTAATTTTGGGAAATAAAATTTTTAATATACGGGAAAAAATAAATATTAAATTTAATCATAAAAATCATTAAAAGGGTACAAATTTTGTGTGTTTATCAGTTTTTGTATTTAATAGATAAAATATACTACATATGTATTAATACTCTGAACAAAAACGTAATTTTAAATTAAATATTATTTTTGTTCTTAATTTTTGTGATTATTTTTTTTCGTAATATCTTTTTGTATTTAAAAAGCATGAAATCATAGTTTTATAATTCAATGTAGATCGTCATTTATAGGAGCCCCTTTTGACGATAAATAGTTTCATTTAGTTCAAGTGTTGTAATTTGATTTTTACACGCTGACTTAACTTTTACTTAACTCTTGTTTTGAAGTAGAGATCCGCCTGGTTTTGAATCAGACCTTGATTCGCCTGGTTCTAATCTTCCTGGGTTTAGAGTCAAGATCGGTAAAATCGTTGCGGGACGGGATCCCGCGTGATAAATACCGCAAAATGCAACAAAACCAAAAAATGGGGATTTGCGGGACGGGATCCCGCAAAATCCCGCGCGGGATCCCGCCCCGAACCTTTAGTTTAGAGTCAAGATCAAGCCAGTTTCTCTGGTCTTGTGATCTTTCCTGGACTTTGATTCCTCCTTATCTCAAGGCCAAGAAACTGGCATAGGTTAACAGCATAAATCGAGTTAAAGGATCAGAGTAATCAAGGTCTCTAAGACTAACTATTTCTACTTTAAATTTACAAGATTAATTGTTTAATTAATTTTCCCTTTTTTGTTTGCTTAATTTATTAAAATAAATAGTTTTTAAACAATTTATTGACTTAATTCTCTAAATTTTTAATTAATTATTTTATTTTAAAATTAAAGTTATATCAGCATAATTTTTAATTTTTTTAAATAATTTATAAATATGAGACAAAACAACGGAGAAAACAAAATTGGTGTTTTTGAAGGAATTGCTTACTGTATTGGGGATATTATAGGCTCAGGTTCGATTAAAAATTTTTTCTTAATTTTAGAAATTATTCTGAATACCTTTTTCCACGCCTATAGATTTGAAAAATTTTTTAATTCTAATAGCTATCTGGACAAAATTTGTCCAAAATAAGAAAAATTATTTTTAATAAGCGGATATTAGTAAAACAATGAATAAATGGATTGGGATTACCATTAAGAGAAATAAAAATATTTTTCTGAAAAGTCCTGGTTGTTAAGGTGTTCTAATTTCTCTCCAAGTCCTGACATTTATTTAAAAAATTTTTTAAATTTAAAATAATATTAGGCTGTCTAGAGGGACTGTCATGAAGAATAAGGGCTGTAAGTGTTGTCAATAGGGACTGTCAAGAATAAAATCAGAAAATATTTATTTTAATTTTTAAAGGTATTTTTATCTCTCCAACATCAATTCTAAGACATACAGGCTCAGTGGGGCTTTCCCTTTGTGTATGGGCTGTAGGTGCTTTAATTGCTGCGTGTGGGGCACTTGTATATGTTGAATTGGGTAATTAAATTTAAAATAAATTGAAAAATAGAATTTAATTAAGGAACGAGTATAGGAAAGTCGGGTGGTGATTTTGCCTATCTCTCACATGCAAAATGGTAGGAAAATTTATTAATAAAACTCTAAATTGCCAAAAAATTTTAACAAATCATTATAAAATAATCCACAAAATTCCCGCCTCAAGAGATTGATGTAATAAAGCCATCAGATAATAATAAAGTCATCCTCAACTATACACTAGAGACCGGACCGAGACGAGATCTCGATTCTCGTACGACACTCCCAGTCCTGTCTACAATATACACCTCAATTTAGGAGACATTTTTTTAAATTTGGTTGGCCTTTAGGTAGAGGGAACCACCAGTGTATTATCCTTGATTTCTGATACATACAGTTCAATTCTTAAAATTTAAACCTAAAAATCTTTAAAAATTTTTTAAAGGCATCCTTTAGCAACAGCATTTTTGTGGGTATCCACAACTTTAACATTCCCCGTTATTATGGCAATACAAACTTTAACATTTGGAGAATATTTAGTTGACGGTCTAAATTCTTTTATTTCAATAAATTCTGAATATATTGGAATATTAAAACGTTTAATTGGATTTATGACTATTTGGCTTGTTTGTTTTATGAATTTATTTTCTTTGGTAAAAAATTATTTTTAAAATCTTTCTGTCCTGGGAAATCTCTCCTGGAGTCTAGATCCGAGATCAGGATATCTATAATAGTATTAAAGAGGAGTCTCCCCCAATTCTCTTAGGGGTCTCGAGATAATTTTTGGGGGAGACAACACTACTGTGGTGGATAATAAGCAATTCCCTTTTAAATCTCTCTCTTCACCCTAGTAGAGGGAGAGATTTGTTAGGAATACTTGTATGATTAGGTCGGATATTTGTCCAAGTTTTTTTTGGAACTTGAGTTCTGAACAGAGGGTTAGTTTTCAATTACTTAGAGTTCTGAACCAAAAATAAATAATTAAATGTAATCAGAACAACTGTCACTTCTCTTAAGAATTAAGCCACTAATTCTTATAATTTTTAAGAAAAAAATAGCTGGCCGATTCCAAGTTGTATTAACAATAATTAAATTATTGGTTATAGCTACAATTATTTTTATTGGTTTATATCAACTTGTATTTAAAAATAAAACTGAAGAGACTTTTGTAAATGCTTTTGAAGGATCTAAAACTGAACCTGGAGATTTTGTATTGGCTTTATATGCAAGCCTTTTGGCTTATAATGGCAAGTAATGTTTTTATTTGTCGTTAAACTAATTAAAGCCTATCCTTCTAATTTCGGTAGATCCTTTGAATGGACTTACCTATATAAGATAAGGTGTTCTAGTAGAGCCATGAAAGGGGGGGAGGGGAGCATTCAGGATAATTCGTTAAAAAATTTATAGAAAGATGTGGATTAGGTTATCCCAGGATTCTTGGCTGTTTTTCACCATATATCTTTACTATGTCAGAAATATGGGTTTTGAAATGGATTCTAAAACGTTAGCCTATATTTCTAAACCAATAGACAATATGTAGTTTATGTATAAATTTAATTTAGTGCTCAAAATATTTTCCGTTAAATTAGGTATACATAAAATTTTTGTCCGCAAATTCTGTCCGCAAATATCCTTCGTATTTTCAAAAAGTTTTTTCAGAATTAAATTTATTAATTATTTTACTAAAATTATACTTTAAAAATAAAGGTTGGGATATCCTCAACTTTGCAACCGACGAAGTAGAAAATCCTCGAAGAGTGCTTCCCCTAGCAGCTTTATGCGGGATTGGAATCTCTGCAGTTGTTTATCTTTTAATTAATATTGCCTATTTTTCTGTTTTAACTATTGATGAATTTTTAAATACTGAAGCTGTTGCTTTTGTTTGTTCTTATTTTTTCAAAAAATTTCAAAATTTTTTCAGAAATTCGCAGAAAAAACAATGGGGGATTTTTCTCGTATTTTTCCCTTTTTAATTGCTATACTTTTACTTGGAAATTTAAATAGTTCAATTTTTGCATCATCAAGGTGAGAACGAAAATAATTGTCGAACCTTTCCTTAAGATATTACGCCCAATGGAAATACACCTCAGTTTTAAGAAAAATTGTTTAGAGATGAGATTTTCAAAAAACCTCGACCTTGATCTTAATTTTAGGTGAGGACCTTGACCAGATCAAGAACCTTGGGTCAAAGAAAAAATCAAGGACAAGGAAATCAAGGTCTCTATAAGGTACAGTACAATCTTGCGACTCCCAGGGTGTATTTAAAAATGAGTTTCGATTTTGTTACAAAATAAAAAATTACTTAGGTATGTATTTGCTGGAGCTAAAAATGGAATTATGCCTCGAGTTTTAAGCTCTGTACATGAAAAGTCTATGAGCCCTAGAGTTGCTATAATATATGAAGTTGGTTTAAAAAATAATTTTGAGAGACTAAATTTAAAATTTTTTAGATGTTTGTTCTAATTTCCCTCTCTTTTATTGGTGATTTGGAACATTTAATTGGATATATGTAAGTGGGTAATATGTTCACGATTAGTTTAAAATTTAGGGCCGGGAAATGGGGTGGGAAGGGATCGGATATGTTAATAATTAAAAGAAACAAGTAAAGTGTGAAATTTTTCAAGATATTGATCTCTAATCTCTCCCGATCCTCAAGTGTTTCGGTCTTTATTTAAGCTAGAGTTGTACCCCGACCCCGTACCCCGAACCCCGACCCCGTTCCCGAACGATTTTTTCACGATTCTCCCCGACCCGAACCCCGCCCCGAAAAAAAGTGAAAACCCCGTTCCCCGGCCCAAAAAGTTTCGGGGTTTCGGGGTTTTATACCCCTAAAAAATGTCATTTTTGGGAGAAATTAATGAAGAAAATTTAAAAAATTTCCACCCATTTTACTTTGCTTTTATTATTCTTGAAAGAAAAATGAATGAAATATCATAATTTTCTTTCCTTCTTTATTAAGAGACTTGTGGTTGAGTGGCTTAGTTGATGGTTTTAGCAGATATTTCATTAATATAGGATTGGGTTCGGATCCATATAAGGAGAACTATTTTGTTTTTATATTTCTTTACAAAAGCATATTATTAACGAGTTAAATTTTAATTTTAAAATATTATTTTTATTTTTAACTGATATCCCTTGAACGAACCTTAATCCTTCAAACCCCTTGTATCACCAGTAAGGGGTTCCCAACAAAAACTATCGAGGTCCTGTTAACGTGAATTAGAGATATAAAGGGATCTGTAGGATATCGAAGAATTAAGGAGTTAAAAGGATTCAAAGGGATCTAAGGTTTAAATTAAAATGGATTTGAAAGTATTACGCGAATTTAACGGATATATGTAGATGAATTACCATGGATTTCGTGGGAGATTTAAGGATTAATTGAAGATATCTCCCGATATCCGTCCAAATACCCTTATCACAATACATCAAATCCTTATAAATCACTAATATCCCTTGAACCAACAAAAATCACTCCAGATCACCTTGCACCCCTAGATATACCATTTAATCCCTAAAAATCCCACTTAATCCCTCCAGATCCACTTATATCCCAAGTTATACACTTTAATCCCTTCAAATCCCCTCTAATTTCTCCAAATCCTACTTAATTTTTGAATAAATCAGCGAAAATATATCGATTTCTAATTATTTTTGAGCATTTTTTTCTCTAAAAATTTTTCCACTAAACCCCCGTACCCCGACCCGAACCCCGGCCATATTTTGCTCCCCCGACCCGAACCCCGCCCCGAAACAATTGGAAAACCCCGTACCCCGACATACCCGCCCCCGAGCGTTCGGGGTACAACCCTAATTTAAGCTAAATGGATCACAAGGAGACGAGAAATAAAAAAAATTAAAACATCTATTTGAGATTTCACGAGGAATAAAGGCCCAGAAAATGGCATTTTAACAATGTACTTTCATTAGCTGCTTTATTGAACACAAGGAAACATTTAAATTTGAAAAATTCCCTTGTTTGGAATCAAATGCCGCAAAACAAAATAATTTCAAAAAAATTTCCAAAAATCCCCTCGTTTTCAGGTCCTATTCCTTATGGATGCAAAAAAGTTGTACCATGGTAGCACTATTATATATGCGGCACAAAGGAACATTTAAATTTCAAAAAAATTCAATAAAAACACCTATAATACTTCCATTTATTTGTTTGTGTATATTTATTTCTATGCTGATAATCTCTGCTAGAAAAGTTGGAAAAAATTCTTGAAAATTTTTTAAAAATATTTTTAGGACCCTTTCATTATAATATATGCATTAACAATGTTGGCAATTGGATTAATTCTTTATTTTATTTTTATTAATCCAAAAAGGAAAAGCAAGTCTGTAATTGGTGGGGAATGCTTTGAAAAAGTTAATGGTGAGCGAAAAAAAAATTTTATAGAAAAAGGAAAATATTTTGAGAAATTAGAGGCTTATAGAGTAAAATGGAGAAATATGCCTTCTCCTATAAAAATTCTTTTACATGTCGAAAAGTTAGAAGAAAATTCCCAAACGAGAAGAATAGCCAAAAGGAAGCTTAAGGGGGCTGAATAAAGGGGGAAGGGGGGGGCTGAATAATAGAGGGGAGGAGGGGGGATTGGAAGGAGGGGGCTGATTTTCAAGCATTAAATCCTCAATATTCATAGACAGATCTAAGACTGTCTGGAAAAGTAAGAAAAAAATTAAAAAATTTTTATTTTAAGATTTATCAGCATTTTTCGCCCAAATTGTTTTTAACACAACAGTCCCGAACAAAGAAGAATGAAAAAATGTAATTATAAAATATTTTGATTTTAATTAAATTAGAATTAATTGGTCTCTAGTATATTCCATTTACGAGTGCATTTTATTAAAATTAGATAAAAATATTTAAAATCATAAATTTAAACAAAGAGAAAATTTTTTGGATTTATTAAAAAAGGAAAATTTAAAACAATAAGAGAAGAGAAACAATGAGAGAGACCAAATAAAAAATACGAGAATACTTTCCCTTTTTACAACACATGCAAAATTTGAAGCAACGTTTACCACCTATTATATTAGCGATTTTTTTGGGAAATAAAAGTGTCGAGCGCAGTGGCAGTTGGAAATGCATTGTCGAGAGCATAAGACACATTGGTGAGAGAGAATGAAAATTCTTAGTGGTGTTGGCCGTCTGTCATTTCAGTAAACATAGTTTTCTGTGTGGCAGATGAACAGTTGGTTAGTTGTCGCTCAATGAGAGCGCAATGATACTGACTTAATCGGCTGTCATTTTCAGCGAACCTTGTTCGCTGTGTGACAGTGTGAACAGTTAGTAGTTATTTGTGCTTGTTAAGTGCAATGCTACTGACTTAATCGACTGGCGAACATCACTTGATGTGAGCTGTCAAAATTCCCGGGTATGTTGCTTATGTAACATGCTAGGGAATTATTCGCCTGGAGGAAAATGGCTCGGAAGAGTTGTTGTGGAGGGGTGCAGGCACGGTAACATCCGAAGCCACATTTTGGTCTTGGATGCTGTACCAATATAAATATGCACCAAGGAGGTTGGAGGAAAGTCCAACACTGCGACAAATCGCCCCTGTGTACTGATGTTCGATGAGACAGCTGCGCTCCCAATTTTTTTTTTCAAATTAATAGATAAAAAGGTAATTTAGCAATATGTACTCGACATCCCCTCCTAATCCCCCGACATACATAGACCTACCAATGACTACTTTAGTAAAAAAAATTTCTGTATTTATGTAAAATAAAATTGTCTACACTAAACCGAGAAAAATATCAAAATATTACCAAAATAAAAACAAATAGTATTTTTGTACCTATCAAAAAGAAAGGAAAATTTAAAACAAATAAGATAAGAGAAACAATAAGAGAGACTAAATAAAAAATAAGAATATTTCCTCTTTACAACACATGCAAAATTTGAGGTAATGTTTACTTCCAGTTATATTAGCGATTTTTTGGAAGAGAAAGTGTTGAGCGCAGTGGCAACTGGAAAAGCTTTGTCGAGAGCATAAGACACATTGGTGAGAGAGAATGAGAATTCTCAGTGGTGTTGGCCGTCTGTCATTTTCAGTAAACTTCGTTTGCTGTGTGGCAGGTGTATAGTTGGTTAGTTGTCGCTGCTTAAGCGCAATGATACTGACTTAATCGACTGGCCACATCAGTGGTGTGAGCTGTCAAACCGTCAACCGCTCTGTGGGCGGTTGACAAAAACTGTTGTCCCAACTATAAGTATTCTGTTATACGAGCAGTATGCTAGGGCTTCGCCTGGAGGAAAATGACTCGGAAGAGTTGTTGTGGAGGGGTGCAGGCACGGTAACATTCGAAGCCACATTTTGGTTTTGGATGTTGTACCAATATAATATGCACCAAGGAGGTCAGAGGAAAGTCCATCGCTGCGACAAATCGCCCTTGTGTACTGATGTTCGATGAGACAGCTGCGCTCCCAAATTTTTTTCTGAACTAAATGAAAATTTTATCCAAAAATGAAAGCAAATACTAATTAAAGTACTAATTTATAAAAAGAGAAGAGAATAAAAACAAAATATACTCAACTGTTAGAAATGAAAAAAGTAAAGCAATAAGAGAAGAGAAACAATAAGAAAGACTATATAAAAAATGAGAGAATATTTCCCTTTTGCAACTCATACAAAAATTGTACAAATAGTTACCAACAGTTATATTAGCAATAAATCGGGCAAGGATTTTGTGAGCGTAGTGGCAGTTTGAAAAGCCTTGTTGAGAGCATAAGACACAATGGTGAAAAAGAGAGTGCAAATTCTCAGTGGTGTTGGCCACCTTCCACTAATGAAGCGTTTCGTTGTTGGTAGAAGGTGAAATTTCAGTTGCATTGCTTTTCGGCTATGTAATTGATAGACGACTAACTCTCAGTTAATCTGTGAGTTGTCATCACGTCAACCGGTTTAATTAAATCGGAAGACACTGAAGCGTCATACATTCCGATAGGTCTGTTGACACTATTCCGTCAAGAAGCCTTATCAGGTTGCTTGACACCTGTTTTCGAGTATGTGCTTACAGCTTATCCTCGGATCAAGGCCTGGAGGAAAACGACTCGAAAGTGTTGTTATGGAGGGGTGCAGGCGCGTGGCTGGCTGGCAGACAACACTGCCACCAGTAAATAATATGCACCAAGGAGGTTGGAGGAAAAGTCCAACACTGCGACAATTGCCTTTGTGTGCTGATGTTCGATGAGACAGCTGCGCTCCCAATTTTTTTTCGAAATATAAAAATTAAAATTATTTGACATTGAAATTATTTATGTATCACATTTTATCAATTGAACTTTCGTTGTGCTTGTTTCCCAATATTTTTTGAGATCCCCCACAATTTCGTGTACTTCTCTTCCTCTAAAACATTAATTTATTTAATTCCAGTTGCTTTTTTTTAAAGTTCATTAACCTTGTTTCCGGAAGAAATATCCAAAGAATAATTAAACAAAAAATCTGTGGAATGATAAATAAAGGAAGAAAACACCAAACTCCGATAGACGCATACAAGGGCAAAATTAAAATATTAAAAATAAAGCCAGATAAGTAAAAGGTAAAGAAAACAATTGCTTGGCCAGTTGAACGGAAATTTTGGGGAAATAATTCCCCTGCAATGTAGAAGGGAATTGTGCCTAAGGATAGTCTAAAAAGGGGAATTTTAAAAAATATTTTTTCAAAAATTACCCAAAACAGGACAGATAAACAATGAAAGAAAATGCACATCCATAACGAAATATTCCATTAAATAAGGTTAACCGGTCAAAAATTAAATATGAAATGAGGCTTAAAACACTTGTAAGTCCAGGCAAGAGAAGCAATAAACGACGGCTTACACTAAAAATTTTGAGGAAATAATTGAAACACTGTTTGGGATAGATATTGAAGGTCGATAAATATTCGAGACTGACATCTTGAAAGATCAAGATAACTTTGATTTTTGAACGAAATCTTGTCTCATTTTTATTTTTAGATTGAATCCAAAAGCAGCTAAATTCTCCTTCCCCGTTACGAGGATTCCTTTGAAAAATTCTTGCTTACCGTTCAGACATTAAAGTGCCTGGAATATTCACTAGTAAAGAACTAAAAGTACATAAGGTAGCAAAAAATTGTGCATGTTCAATATCAAAATGGGAGGACAATAAAGTTGTTGCCACTGGCCAAGGTCCAATAGTTAACTGGAGAGAAGCAGCACTCAATATAGATGCAAGAAGTAAATGCTTTTGAGTTAAGATTTCCTTCAAAATTTGAAAAATTGAAGTTTTCTCGTCGCATTTCTCGTTATTTTGACGCTCTTTCTTCAAATCGTGAAGAAATTCTTTGTGGTCAATATTATCACCTTTTAATAATTTTTATTAAATTTATTATCAATGGATTATTTAAAGGTTATATAAAAAAGGGATCAGTGTGCCGAAATTTTGCTTGTTTTTTCATTCTAACAAAGATTGAATCATCCTCTTTAGGGTGATTCGATCTATCAAACCGAACCGGGCCGGCAACCCTACTCCTTCCGGTATGTTAGTCTCCTGATTCAAGGATTTGTTTCTTCTATCCACTGCGAATTAACTTGATCCAAAAATACTGCCAAACCTCTATATTTTGTGGCATTAATTCTCGGAAGATTTGGTCTCAGATAACTCTAACCTAGTGTTATTCCATCACCGTCCTTCTTATCAAAAAATAAAAATATTTCCCACCTTGATAAAACTTTAATGCTTCTAAAGTTGCCTTTTTATCTTGCCTTTTAAGATAAAGAAACTTTGGCGTTTCTTTTATTGGAAGTAGTAAAAAAATCGACAAAAATGTAGGTAATAAAGCTATTCCTTTAAATTAAAAAATACTTCTTTTAATTACAAAATTATTTTCTTGCCTGTTAAAAGAACTAAATTCTTTCCTAAAAACCAATCCATACCCAAAATCATTCCAATATTCCCACCAAAATTAAAATTGAAGCCTCCTATAAATGCTGCCAGGCCTCTATACTTTGTGGCTGGGAATTCCTTTAGAAAAAATATTTTATAGAATAAATTCAGACCTCACTATCAGATACTCCCAAACCTCAATTCAAGATATATTAAGGGAGAGATGGAAGTTTAGGGCTCTTGGCAGCTCGATTTCTAATTGAGCGGCATCTCCATTTGAACGGCAGTCTCTAATAGAGCGGCACTTTGACAGAGGGTTGAAAAATAAAGCGCATGTCACTCAATTAGAGGAAATGCGGTATGCTCATTAAAATCTGGTTGCCTACTAAATGGAGATAGCTGCCTAAGGATAACTTCCAGTTAAAAAACATTCTGAGGGAATCTCTCAGCCAAAGGGAGTATCTTATAATAAGATCAGTCTGTAGCTAAAAACCATTGAAAAGAGAGCAAAAGCACAAAAATTAATATTAGTTACAGCTGCCCCAAACACTCCACTTATTAAAAATAGTTCAGGTATCAGATATATAACTGAGATTGTAGTTAATAAAGCAGAAATGAAGGAAGCGAAATTTGTGTAAATCAAAGTAGCTAATTAAATAATTATTTATTTTTGAATGAAATATTAAAGAAATTTCGAAGATTGTGGAGGGCTAAGAAGGACTAGAACTAGGTTGAAACAGAGCGGTTATTAATGGTTATTATAATCGAGTGAGAGAGTCTCGATAAGGTGAAATGGGGCTTGGTTGAAGTGGATGCATGGAACAACAGGGCCCGTAACCTATACCAAGCGGTAGGATTTGTATCATAAGAAAATCCTGAGGTTCAATGGGTAATGACGAGGTCATTTAACCCCTACCGAGCGGTCATAGTTTACCGGTATCAGGAGAAATCGAATTCTAGGCCATTTAACTTAACCCCTACCGAATGGTAAATCTCAGACCCTGCTATAGCTCGTGGTTTTACCACGTGAACTAGCTCGGTCCTAAAAAGAGTTAAAATTATAAATTTATAAGAGCTGTATAATAAGAGCTGTAGCCCTCTATATTTAATTTCCAAACATTTTAAAAATCCCCAAACCTCTTCTTCCAAAACTTTCACAAAAATAAGGAGCTAATAAATTACTCAATAAAAACCCAAGAAAGGGCAAATTCAAAACAAAATTCCAAAACCACAATAAATAATTTTCGGAAATTTTTTGTCCACGTGCAAGATAAGAATCATTAATATATTTTTGAATGTTCTCTGCAGCCGTATTTGGATAAAAAGTTGAGTAGGATTGAAAAAATAAATTTAGGAATGAAATAATAAAAATAAATATACAAGTTTGTAAAAGACGTCCATTTGGAGGAAATAAAAATTTTAACATTTTAAAATGACTTTTTGATTATTGGAAAATTAATTTTAAATTTTTGAGTGAATAAAAAAATTAAACAAAAATTTAATTAAATTATTCTATTATAATAAGCATTTATAAGAACGCAGGTGCATTAACAGAGAATAGTTATTCGAATTAAATGAAATGAAATTAAAAATTAATGAGTAAAAATTAAGAGAGGTTTGTCACTTGAAAAGGTATACAATGCACAAAATTTAATTAATAATAATAATAATATTAATATAATAATAATTTATCTGCCATTGAGGCGTTAAATGTTGTAAAAATAAATTTATTTTAATGTGGTTGAAAAACAAATAAATAAAATAAATTTTAACAAAAATTTGTAAAAAATGTAAACAGTTAATTAAATCAGTAATTTATTTATCACACTCTTTCCTTTTCAAAAAATTAAGTTTTTTAAGATCTTCTACAATTTCGTGCACTTCTCTTCCTCTAAAAATTAATTGTCTTATAAATAGGGATGGGATTTATATGGATTTCCATATTTTTTTCCTGAACTCGTTGGGTTCTGAAACGTCCAAAAAACATGTTTTTACATATGGTGATAAGGCCGTTTTTGAGTTATCAATCCATATTTTCCATATTTTTTCATATTTAGGCGTTCCGTCCATATTTTCCATATTTTATCCATATTTCGCCATTTTTTGTAAAATTTTGCCAAAAATTGGTTAAAATTTTCAAATTTATGAAATTTTTGGTCAAAAATTTTAATAAAAAACTTTTTTGAATAAATTTTTTCGAAAAATTTTCGAAAATTTTTTTATAAAAATTTTGACAAAAATTTTTCAAAAAATTTTCGACTCAAATATTATCCAAAATATTTTTAGAAACAAAATATTCACTATTAATTGGTTTATTTGTAATAATTTGCATAAAAATTAACTTAATTAACATTTTCTGCTTAAAATGAAAATTTTTTCGCTAAAAATTTTCAGTTTTCGGCCCATATTTGATCCATATTTTGGATTTTAGTCCATATTTCAGTCCATATTTTGAGATTTTTATTCCATATTATATGTCCATATTTTTCGATTGATAGTCCATATAAATCCTATCCCTACTTATAAATAAAAGTCAATTATTGTTAGAATTGGAAAGTCCTATAGTATGTACAATTAAGTTATTATTGCTTGGAACTGAATAGGTCTTCGGACCTTGATTTCCCTCAGATAGCAGGGTCGGGGTCTCTTTAACCCTGATTAAGGTTCGGCCATGTTTCGAACTTATTTTTGAATTTTTAAATTCATCTACCTTGTTTCTGGAAGATTATTATGACCAGAGCCGGGTTTCAAATCATTATTAATCACTAAAAATACTGAGCGGGAGTCTCCTTAAACTCTGATCAACGTCTTGTCCTGGTTCGAATTTCAGTTTTTTAATTCATCTACCTTGTTTCTGGAAGAAATATCCAAAGAATAGTTAAACAAATCATCTGTGGAATGATAAATAAAGGAAGAAAACACCAAACTCCAATAGATGCATACATGGGCAATGTCAAAGTATAAAAAATAAACGCAAGCAGGAAAAAGGTAAAGAAAACAATTGCTTGGCCAGTTGAACGAAAATTTTGGGGAAATAATTCTCCTGCAATGTAGTAAGGAATTATGCCTAAGGCTATGCTGAATTTTGATTTTTGTATTTAAAAAAGAATTTTCTTCAAAATTACCCAAAACAGCAAAAATAAACAATAAAAGAAAGTGCACATCCATAACGGAATATTCCATCAAATAAAGTTAGCCGGTCAAAAATTAAATATGAAATCAGGCTTAAAACGCTTGTAAGTCCAGGCAAGAGAAGCAATAAACGACGGCTTACACTAAAAATTTTGAGGAAATAGAATACTTTTTGGATTTTATAAAATATGAAAAAAGATAGTTTGAAGTAAGGGTTCAATTGAAGTAAAATTCGAAAAACCCCTCATGTTGGGGTTTTTTCTATCCACAGGGTTTCCGTGGTGTATTGGCAGCCCTCAAAGGAATTAGCTATTATAAAGCCAGCCGATAGTATTTTAATTCACTCTCTAGTACTTAAAACCCTCATTTACTATTGAATTTTCGGTGAGCGATAAAGTTTAAAGTTCGTCTACGTGGTAGTCCCCCGGACATCTAGCCCTCTTTTCTACAGAAATAAGTACCGTTCCGACATAAGAATGCCTGGAATAGTCACCATTAAAGAACAAAAAGCCCCAAAAGTAGCAAAAAATTGTGCTTGTTCAATATCAAAATGGAAGGACAATAAAGTTGTTGCCACGGGCCAAGGTCCAATATTTAACTGGAGAGAAGCTGCACTCAATATAGTTGCAAGAAGTAAATGCTTTTGACTAAAAATTTCCTTTAGAATTTTATAAATTGGAGTTTTGTCGTCGCTCTTATCGTTATCTTGACGTTCTTCCTCCAATTCTTGAAGAAATTTTTCGTGGTCAAATTTATCACCTTTTTATTATAATTATTTTTTTCATTAAATTTAATAAAAAGTCATTATTTTAAGGTTATAGAGGATATTGAGAGAGCCTTCTCTATTTGATCTCTTGTTTCTTTTACCCAACGATTTTTAAATCAGTTAACGGTCCTTCCGTTGTTTTACAAATTTTTTTATTTTTGTTACTTAAAAAAATATTTGTCGACCTTGATAAAATTTTAATGCATCCAACATTGCTTTTTTGTCTTGTTTTTTAAGATAAAGAAATTTTGGTGTTTCCTTTATTGGAAAAAGTAAAAGAAAAGCCAAAAATGTAGGTAATAAAGTTATTCCTTTAAAATTAAAAAATATTTCCTTTAATTACAAAATATTTTTCTTGCCTGTTAAAAGCACTAAATTCTTTCCTAAAAACCAATCCATACCCAAAATCATTCCAATATTTCCTCCAAGATTAAAATTAAAGCCTCCTATATAAACGGCTAAACCTCTATATTTTGTAGCAGGAAATTCCTGTTTTAATAAAACTAGGTTGATTATTTTTATACTTATCTCATCAGATACTCCCACAAATCTATATAGGATATGTTAACCAGAATTTGGTTGACTATGAAATGAAGCAAGGTACCCAACAGAGTTGATTTTCTTCCGCTTTGGTCTTAATCTGAATTCTGTCTTTTTTGGCCCTTCCAAATACCCCCCCCCCCCCAATAACCCCCTAATGACGGGTATATTTTTGGCTACTTACGCCAAAAATACACCCCCTAATGCTGTGGTTACATAAAAATCGCTTTGCGTTTTGCAAAAGAAAATCACAGATAAAATGATGATTTTTTACTCATTATAAAAAAATTTCTCAGCCAATGAGAGTATCTTATAATAAGATCAGTCTGTATCTAAAAACCGTTGCAAAGAGACTAAAAGCACAAAAATTAATATTTGTCACGGCTGAACCGAACACTCGGCTTATTAAAAATAATTCTGGTATTAGATAGATAATTGAGAATGTAGTTAATAATGCAGAAATGAAGGAAGCAACATTTGTGTAAATCAAAGTAGCTGATTAAATAATTATTTATTTTTGAACTAAAAATCCCCAACCTCTTCTTCCAAAACTTTCACAAAAATAGGGAGCTAATAAATTACTCAATAAAAACCCTAGAAAGGGCAAATTCAAAACAAAATTCCAAAACCACAATAAATAATTTTCGGAAATTTTTTGTCCACGTGCAAGATAAGAATCATTAATATATTTTTGAATGTTCTCTGCAGCCGTATTTGTATAAAAAGTTGAGTAAGATTGAAAAAATAAATTTGTAAAGGAAATTATACAGCAGAATATACAAGTTTGTAAAAGACGTCCATTTGGAGGGAATAAAAATTTTAACATTTAAAAATGCCTTTAATTATTTATAAAATTTAAATATTTGGGGTATTATTTCACTTTAAACAAACACGAAATCCTAACGAACCCGAAATTCTAGAGGATTGTGGAGGGGGATTATGGCTTGGGATATAAGTGGTTCTTATATCCCATGCCATAAAAAATGATATACTTCTATTAAAGGAGAATGAATTGATTAAGGGTGATTTAAGGGGTATCAGTAGCATAAAGAGGGAATAAGAGATTCGTGGATATAAAAATGGACTGAGTAATTAAGGGTGTAGGTGGAAACCTGATACTGATATCCACTCAATCACTCGATATTCCCTTTATACCCTTCAAATCTCCCGATATCTCCATCCAACCCTCCGATATCTAAAGATTCAATTTAGAGACCAGACTGGGTTCACGAATCTCCAAATCGAGTAATAATTTTTTCTAGAGACTACTGAAAGTACCGTCAAAAACCGAAACTTTTTAAAACCCAAGAACGACATAAAAAAAGGCCAATGCAATTTACCTTTTTAATAAAATGAGAAAAAAATTAAAATTTTGAAAAATCAGAGAACAAAAGTTTCAATTTTTGAATGTACTATGAGTTTAAATATATTTTAAAATTAATCGAACCAAAAATGATATTTATCTTATAATTAAATTCTTAATTTGCTTTTTTTAATTAGCTGAGAAATTTATTACTTTTTATAAAGTGTTAATAAAAGATAAGAATAATTTTTTTATTAATAAGCGAAACTTTTCAAAACCCATGAACGACACAAAAAACGTGTTATATTAAAGTTGATTTTTAAATTGAAAATAATTTTTTGGGATATTTAGACTTTTTTTTAATTAAACAGTAGGATAGTTTAACTATTAAAAAATTTTTTTATAAGTAACTGGATCCTTAAAAATCAACTGAAAAATGGTGCTTAATGAGTTAATAAAAATATTGTTTAATTAATAGTACTTTGAATTGCACACAAAAAAAAAAGATAAAATTTTAGGATCCGGTTAATTTTTATTAAAGAAATTCAGTTCAAATCACAACAGAAAAATAAGAAATCTTCGTTTTAACAGTCCTAAATAAAAGTTTCTGTTAAATAAGGATTTGACATTTAGCCTCAAAAAATTTTTTTGGAAGAAAGCTCTCGAGCTCAATGGGATGTTTTTGGGTATCCTTTTTGAAAATATCCGTAAATTTAAAAATAGTCATGGAAACTTGAATTCGCCTGAACAATAACAATTAAATAATTTTTGTTAATTAATGCTTCAATCAATTGCTAATTAATGCTAAATTAATATTATTGTTTTATTTTTAATAGCGCGCGAGGAAGAAAAAATATTTGCTGATTAAACATGTTTACCCACTATAAGGATTAGAAAAGCTTCTTAAAGAGTGATTTTTCAGATTACAAAAAATAAGGAAAAAGTTTTAACAAAAATTATTTAAAAATATAAACAATTTACATATATGTATTAAATTTACTAATTATTTATCACACTTCAAAAAACTCGATTTCTTTAAATCGTCCACAATTTCGTGTACTTCTCTTCCCCTAAAAATGATTTTTTATAAAGGTCAAGGTTAATTATTTTAAAAATTCTACATTCGAAATTTCCCCGTCCCTATTAAGAGATTTTATTCTTAGTTTTAATGATAAATTTTGTTTTTTAAATACCAGGGCCTGGGGGTTCCTGATACATAAGAATGCTTCTTTCTTTCTTGCCAAAGTACCGGTTTTTAAAAATTTTTTATTAAAAGCTTAATTTTAAATAGCAAAATTGAAAGGCTTTTTAGATTCAAATAACACAAAAGGTATGTGTAATAGTTCAGTTCGTACCCCCCCTCCCTTTTTTTCCTCCCTAAAAGTATTAAAAGCGGTCAGTCACTGACCATTTTTTAATACTTTAGAAAGGAAAAAGGAGGGGGAGGGGGTACGAACCGAATATTACGAGGTATGTAACACTAGGCTTTTTAATTTTTTTACCCTTTACCTTGTTTCTGGTAGAAAAATCCAAAGAATAGTCAAACAAAAAATCTGTGGAATGATAAATAAAGGAAGAAAACACCAAACTCCAATAGACGCATACAATGGCAAAATTAAAGTATTGATAATAAAAGCAGACAAGAAAAAGAATAAGTTAACAGCTGATTGGCCTGTTGAACGAAAATTTTGGGGAAATAATTCCCCTACAATGTAGAAAGGAATTGTGCCCAAAGCTATTCTGAAAATGGTAAGCTAAAAATTTTTGGTAGTGGTCTAGTTTATGAGTCCAATGAACATTTATGGGGTTCTGACAGAGGGAATGGGAAGCATTCTTTCTGACAGAGGGCTTTCCATTCTACTTCAATTCCCTGACATTACTAATTTGCAGGATCCATAAAATTAGCTATTATAGCAGCAATGTTAATGCTGTTCTATCAGTAAAAAGGAAAGACCAGACATTATTTGTCCATCTTCAATCAAAAATAACATAAGCTATTATTAGCTATAATCCCCATGAATCTATCTAGTTCATGGGGTGCATAAACTAGATAATTCGAAACAATAGACCTAAAATCACAGTCTTTATTGGAATCATAAACAAAACTAGAGCCTGATTTTTAGAAATTACCCAAAACAGCAAAAATAAACAATATAAGAAAATGCACATCCATAACGGAATATTCCATTAAGTAAAGTAAGCCGGTCAAAAATTAAATATGAAATGAGGCTTAAAGTATTTGTGAGTCCAGCAAAGATAAGTAATAACCGCCGGCTTACACTAAAAATAAATTTTAGGATTTTTAAAGACATAAATTCACAGATAATCCGACGATATCCCCTAAATAATATCCCCGATATATCTCCAAATCCTCAATTATCCTTAAATCTAATGATACTCATTTAGCCTTGTAAATTCTCCATTATCCCTCTTAATCTCTCAAAATCCACAATATACTTATGAATGATGGGGCAAAATAATGCCCTTTAGTTTCAGCCTCAAGGGTTCTTCAGATTTGCTGCTTCGAGGATTAGATAAACATATTTTCTCCAGACCTGCACACGGATACTGATTTTGGTATCCGTATTCGAATATTTACGGCGGATACGGGCGGATACAGACGTATATCCGCAGGCATTTTGATATTACTTGTATCCATATCCGTATCCGTCTGCAAGTCTGGTTTTCTCCCACTTCCCTTATAATCAACCTACCGTTCCGACATAAGAGTGCCTGGAATATTCGCAATTAAAGAACTAAAAGTACATAAGGTAGCAAAAAATTGTGCTTGTTCAATATCAAAATGATAGGACAATAAAGTTGTTGCCACGGGCCAAGGTCCAATAGTTAACTGGAGAGAAGCAGCACTCAATATAGATGCAAGAAGTAAATGTTTTTGACTAAAAATTTCCTTTAGAATTTGAAAAATTGAACTTTTGTCTTCGCTTTTCTCGTCATTTTGACGTTCTTTTTCCAATTCGTGAAGAAATTCTTCATGGTCAAATTTATCACCTTTTTAATTATTTTTGATTAAATTTAATAAGGTATTATTTTGGTTATAAATAAAGGAGACAAATAATATCCAACTTCTTTTGATTCTGTAGATCTCCTGCTTCAAGGATTTGTTCTTCTATATAGTACTCGATGCCCCCACTATTTAGTTACTGTAAGAGTTCGGGTTTACTACATTTGTCCCAGAATAGTTTTACCACTACATATTATAGGGACTTGGTTCGGATTAGTTATGTCTAATTTTCTACATGAACTAGCAAATGCCTAATACTTCCAGTCTTATTTCAAAATTAAAAATAAAAATATTTCACACCTTGATAAAATGTTAATGCCTCTAACGTTGCTTTTTTGTCCTGTCTTTTAAGATAAAGAAATTTTGGGGTTTCTTTTGTAGTAATTATTAAAAGAGTAGCCAAAAATATAGGTAATAAAGCTATTCCTTTAAATAAAGAAAATTCTTTTAATTACAAAATCATTTTTTCTAGCCTGTTAAGAGAACCAAATTCTTTCCTAAAAACCACCCCAAAAGCATTCCAATATTTTGAACAAGATTTGAATTAAATCCTCCTATGAATACCACTAAACCTCTATATTTTGTGGCTGGATATTCCTGGTTTAATAAAATTATTTTTTTGAGAATTAATAATTTTGAAACCGTTGCAAAGAGAGTAAAAGCACTGAAATTTAAACTGGACATGGCTGCACCAAACACTCGACTTGTTAAAAATAATTCTGGTATTTTAAATATAACGGAGATAATTGTAACTAAGGTAGAGATGATTAGACCAAAATTTGTGTAGAGCAAAGTAGCTATTTTAATTGAAATTATATAGATGATTATGATTTATGGAGCTGAAGGAATTGATAGATAGATATAAGATAGAAATAACCTAAGGAGGGATGGAGTAGAATGGAAGGTGTCGCTAAAAGCCATAATTAGAATATAATTTTAAAGTTTATTTTTTCTGAAGGTTAGACTATTTTTTAAAACCTTAGTTCTCGTGTTAGAAGTGATATTGGGTAATCTGAGAAGGAGATTATGTAGTTTGATGGTTCTGTGCTGGGTAAGGCTCCGAGAGCTAGCTTCGGGGCTGGAACCAGAATTTTAAAATGCACTGAGTCGGTCGGTTGGACTCATTTCATGATGGTCCATCTCTTACAAAATAAATTCATTACATGAACATGATAATTGGGATATTGGGTAATGTAAAAGGGACATTAGCGAGTCTGGAAGGTGACTAGGTCAATTTCAAGCAAGAAATTAAAAATCTCCAACCTCTTCTTCCAGCCCTTTCACAAAAATAAGGAGCTGATAAATTACTCAATATAAACCCAATGAACGGCAAATTCAAAATAGAATTCCAAAACCACAATAAATAATTTTCTGAAATTTTTTGTCCACGTGCAAGATAAGAATCATTAATATATTTTTTAATATTTCCAGCAGCCGTATTTGGATAATAACCCGAATACCATAGAAAAAATAAATTTAAGAAGGAAATAATACAGCTAAATATGCAAGTTTGTAAAAGACGTCCATTTGGAGGAAATAAAAATTTTAACATCTAAAAATGCATTTATTTGAAAATAAATTTATTAAAAAATCATAAATATTGAGGTAAATGGAGTGAAAGTAACCCAAGAATCAAGACCAGGTGTGGATAAAATTTCAGATTGAGGACTGTGTAAATTGGGTGGTTTTTGACTTGCGGACTGCACGATTCTAAAATTAAAATTAAGGTCTGTAGATTGCGCCTTTCGAAATTTATTTTCCATTTGCCTACGCCCCTGATCAAGACAAACCCCAAGCCCAAGACAGAAAACGTCTCAATTTAATTCTTGGTTTCAATATCTAGACAGTCTTGGAGGTAACTAAATACCTCTTTAATGAACTAACAAAAAATTTAATTTTGAAAAATGGGCAAATAAAAATATATTAAATCATTTATACTATATTTAATATTTAAAAGATAATTTTAAAGTGTCGTTACTTTATTTTTATATATAAAAATTAAATAAAAAATGACGTTTGATTTAATAAAAAATGATGAATTTTAAGTAATAATTATTTATTTATTGCCTTTGAATTGTGAACAAAGAAAGATAAAATTTTTAAGGATCCGGTTACTTTTTATTAAGATTATTTATTATTTTAATTAGAAGAAATTCAGTTCAAATCACGACAAAATAAAAAATAAGCAATTATTGTTTTATCAGTCTTAAAAGGTTTCTGTTAAATAGGGGCAATAAGGGCTTTAACAGGAACCGGAATACTTAAATTAAAATCAGCCCAAAAAATTTTTTGGAGAAACAAGCTCTATGGACAGTATTTTGGATATTCTCTCAGACATAGCTTTAAATTTTTAAAATAGGTATGAACTCTTGATTTTGTTCGAATAATTAAATAATTTTTGCTAATTATCGTTCGGATCGCTTTATAATTAAGGCCACTTAGTATCATTCTTTTGTACCGCGCGAATAAGAAAAAATGCTTGCTGATTAAGTGTGTTTACCAAACAAAGGATGAGATTGCTTCTTAAAGGATTATTTTTCATAATAAAAATAAAAGTTTTTAATAAAAAATTTGTTTAAAAATGTCAACAATTGAATAAATTAATTTATGTTTATCACTCTGTTCCTTTTCCAGGTCGAATTCTTTAAATCTTCCACAATTTCGTGTACCTCTCTTCCCCTAAAAATAATTTATTATAAAGGTCAAAGAGTTTTATTATTATGACAAGTTCGGTTCTCAAGGAAGGGTGGCCCTTTACAAATCACCAAAAGGAGGGGGGATGGCTTCCCAAAAAGGGGGAAAAGGCAAATGCCTCCCAAATGAGGCAAAAGGGCCACTCTGTTTCAAGGCCTGATTAGCCAAAAAAAAATACTGAGACGTGTATCTCCTTAAACCTTGGTTAATGCCGTGCACTGCAGAGGTCGAGCGGAATTCCGTTTTCCAAGTTCCGACTTTTGAGCCATTTCCGATTCCCGACAGTTCCGATTTCCGGCACTTCGTCATTTCCGATCGACCTCTGCTGCCCTGGTTTACTTTTTTTAATCCTTTACCTCATTTCTGGAAGAAATATCCAAAGAATTGTCAAACAAAAAATCTGTGGAATGATAAATAAAGGAAGAAAACACCAAACTCCAATAGACGCATACAAGGGCAAAATTAAAGTATTAAAAACAAAACCAAACAAACAAAGAGAGGACTGGACAATTGCTTGGCCTGTTGAACGAAAATTTTGGGGAAATAATTCCCCTGCAATGTAGAAGGGGATTGTGCCCAAAGCTATTCTGAAAAGAGGAATTTTGAATTTTTTAGAAATTTTGGAAAATTCTGAATACCCAAAACAGCAAAAATAAACAATAAAAGAAAATGCACATCCATAACGGAATATTCCATTAAATAAAGTTAGCCGGTCAAAAATTAAATATGAAATAAGGCTTAAAGTAGTTGTAAGTCCAGCCAAGAGAAGCAATAAACGACGGCTTACACTAAAAATAAAAATCTTTTTAAAAAATGTGCACATACTAGGGTTGAGCAAGATCTGGATCCCTGTCGGAATCGGACGGGATTAACCCGGTTTTTTGAATCCCCTCCCTATTTTTTAATCCCAATCCCGAGTCGGGATCATTATTAGAAATTTTGGAATATACTGAATACCGTTCTTTCTCCAATTCGTGGAGGACCCAATTTCATGTCGGGATCCGGATCCCGCTCAAATCTAGTAAATAATCTATGATAACTATGTTAAAGTAAGATTTGATTTCCCCATGCCCACAACTTCTTAAGCAACTCAATCCACATGGCTAATTTGAGGGGTACTTAAAGGGGACGTGAAGAAATACTCGTGAGAACTACTCAAGTATCAAATGCTAGGTACGTACCGTTCCGACATAAAAGTGCCAGGAAAACTCGCTATTAAAGAACTAAAAGTACATAAGGTAGCAAAAAACTGTGCTTGTTCAATATCAAAATGATAGGACAATAAAGTTGTGGCCACTGGCCAAGGTCCAATAACTAACTGGAGAGAAGCAGCACTCAATATAGATGCAAGAAATAAATGTTTTTGGGTAAAAATTTCCTTCAAAAGTTGAAAGATTGAACTTTTGTCTTCGTTTTTGTCGTTATTTTGACGTTCTTTCTCCAATTCATGAAGAAATTCTTCATGGTCAAATTTGTCACCTTTTTAATTTTTTTTATTAAAATTAATAACTAGGCATTATTCTAGTGTTTCTATATCTTAAATAGTAAAAGAATCACCGTTTTGTTCTCCTGTCTTTAAACAGGAAGCATTGGATAATTTTTTGGTTCATCTATCGGATAACTAAGTAGCACAATAGTAACACTAAAAGCTAGTTTCAAGAAAAATATGGGGCCTATATCGGATTAGTTATGCCCACTACTGTATTTATGTATATATCAGTGTTTACGGAGCACCACAATTGGGCGCGCACGATTGGGTGCGCCTAATTGTGGTGTACCTCAGTGTTTAACAATAAGATTGTTGGACTGGGATCCGGATCCGAAAAGGCCTGATATCCGGAAATTTTCGGTACGGATATCGGATCCGAATATCCAAGGATTTCCAACAATCCGGAAACCTTATTTAACAAATCCCCTCGTTTTTTTGTCATTAAAAGTAAAAATGAAAATATTTCACACCTTGATAAAATTTTAATGATTCTAACGTTGCCTTTTTGTCTTGCTTTTTAAGATAAAGAAATTTTGGTGTTTCTTTTATTGGAATAAGCAATAAAATAGTCAAAAATGTAGGTAATAAAGCTATTCCTTTAAAATTAAAAGAAATTATTTCTCGACTTTAATTACTTTCTTGCCTGTTAAATATACCAAATTCTTTCCTAAAAACCAACCCAAAAGCATTCCTACATTTTGGACAATATTAGCATTAAAGCCTCCCAAAAACACTGCTAACCCTCTAAATTTTGTAGCAGGAAATTCCTTTTTTAATAAAATATTTTTTAAAAATTTAAAACTTTTTAAAAACCGTTACAAAAACAGTAAAAGCACAAAAATTAATATTTGTCACTGTTGACCCAAATACTCGACTTATTAAAAATAATTCTGGTATTAGATATATAACTGAGAGAATTGTTACTAAAGTAGAGATGATCAAAGCAAAATTTGTGTAGAGCAAAGTGGCTATTTTAAATGAAAATATATTAGTATAATTGTTGAAGGAATTGATAGAGATTAGATTAAAGATAAATACAGGGAAGAACAGTGGGAATAGGAACGAAATAGGGAGGGATGGAGCAGTGTAAAAGGGACATTAGGTAATCTGAAAGGAGCATTTGGTGGATAGTAGAGGACGAGCGACATCAAAGTCACTCTCGAACGACATCATATTATGATACCTATTACTCTGAAGGGTCTTTAAAGCCTTTTAAGGTGGAAGTGGCATTGGGTAGTACAAAAGGAGGTTAGGACATAGCAGAAAGTCTCATAAGAAAATCTTGGTTATCGAGATCGAGATTTTTCAAGATATTTCGTACGACTCTCATAGGAGCTCGGTCCTTTCTCTAGTACATAGTGGTCTGAAAGAACATTGGATAGATGTAGTTAAAGGGGCATTTTGCATAATAAAAGTGATATTGTGAGGATGAAAGGGGAACTAAGCACATGAACGTGAAATGAGAGAGATTTTAATGATTTTCAGAAATAAATTTAAAAAATCTCCAACCTCTTCTTCCAGCCCTTTCACAAAGATAAGGGGCCAATACATTACCCAATAAAAGCCCAAGAAAGGGCAAATTCAAAATAGAATTCCAAAACCACAATAAATAATTTTCTGAAATTTTTTGTCCACGTGCAAGATAAGAATCATTAATATATTTTTGAATATTTCCAGCAGCCGTATTTGGATAATAGGCCACATAATATTGAAAAAATAAATTTAAGAAGGAAATAATACAGCTAAATATACAAGTTTGTAAAAGACGTCCATTTGGGGGGAATAAAAATTTTAACATTTTAAAATGCCTTTAATTATTAAAATATAAGTATATTTTATCAATTAATTAGACAATTTGCATCTCAAGATTAACTATAAAATTGACCTTCAAATAATAAAGGTCTCCCGCCATTTCTATCCAATTCACATTCTTATCTTATTTTGTTAATTACCATAAATTAATAGCTCAAGTACTTCTGAGAGTCAAAATTTATTTAAAATTTTATTGCTCAAATTTAATGTTTTTTGATAGAATTTGATCAAATTTTTGCATATTTTGAGAAATTCTGACATATTTTGCAAAACTTTTTCGGTACATATACATAGTATCTCCGCGCATAATTTGTGAGACCCTAATAATAAATGAATTAAATCTGTGTCCCCAGAATAGAAGAACCTGGGTTTTAAGATATATCCTATTACATCTATAGTATCTAGTTATGCATCAGTAATATTCTTAAATCTTGTTTAGTATTAATGGTAAGAGAGAGAAGGAAAGGAGACCTCTTGCCGTCTCCGCGTTATTACAATTCAGTTATCGAGATACCCCAGCTACTCTAGTAAGCTTGCAGATGCTCTAATAACCCTAGAACTAGTAAACTTTTGCAGGCAAAGATCTCTAATTGGGCATTTTTTGAAGGGGACACGACTCTTTAAAGACCTTTAATTTAATAAAATTTTTATTTAAATAAACAGAAAATTCTACTTTATGTAGAAAAATTTTTTTAAATTACTAGATGTATTTTTTAATTTTATAGAATTAAAAAAGATAAGCAATATTTTAGTAAAATAAGCTAGTACAGTTGATTTTTATTGTTTTTATAGGGCAAAAAAAAGATAAGCTTCTTTGAACAAAAATGAGAAACTTTCTATTTTGTGTCGAAAAATAAAATTTCTTCTAATAATGTGCAGAATTAAACCTTTTTTTATTATTAGGTAATTAATAAAATGACGTTTTAAATAAGGAAAAAATAAGAAATAAAATCATTAAAAAACCCATCGGTCAAAATTAAAAAATATATTTCAAAAGATATTTCTATTTTGTGTCAAGAAAAATTTTTTCAGTGACGTTTTTTAGTTTTTTCTGACTTAATAAAATGATTTTTTTAATTTTAAATAAGAGAAACATTCATTAAGAAATCTGTCATTAAGACTAATACCTAAAAGCAAATTTTTAAAATAAAGGTTCTATCCAAAAAAAACTTCAACCGCCTTAAAAGCACATTTTTGGAGAAACCCCATCCACAAACCAAATAAATGGTATTTGCCAAGGTACCCAAATCTGATATTCTAACCACAGCCCGTAGTCGAACAGAAATCTGAGTAGTATCATTATACGGTACGTTAGTGTTTTGAAAGTTTACTCAACAAATTTTCTTTTGGCCCTATTTATTTTTTAGTATTTTTGTTGACATGTTTATTCAAAAAAAAAAAAACAAAATTTATAAAATCTACCCAAAATCTGCGCGGATATTTACTTAGGGAAAAGAACGAAGTTTAAAGCTTTGAATTGAAGCCTTTTTTGATATTAAATCTTAAAATGTTACAATAATTAAATTTGCTCATAATTTTTAAAAATTTTTAAGGTTTACGTAAAAAATTAGGGTGAAATTATTAGAGAGGGTAATTATTTCAGCATTTACAGTATATAATTAATTTATTTTATTTAAAATTGAAAAAAATATTCTTCAACTTTTCATATTTTTAATCACATCTTTTAATTAAATTTTCAATAAGGTTTGAACATTTAAGGTCAATTGAATAATATTTAGTATGATACAGAAGCATTAAACGCAAAATATGTTCAGTTTCAATAGCAACATTAATTAAACGAAAACATTCAGCCAATCTTTGAGCCCCTTCAATTAAACCTAATCTTCGTTGATTATATCGAAGTAAAATATTTGTGTATTTAACAGATTCGTTATAAAGTAATTCTTTTCCTTCGGGAGACAAGCCTACAGCACCTTTTTTTTAAAATAAAGTTACTATTTAAATTAAAAGCTACAGATTTAATCTGAGCTACAAGTCTAAAATTAATTTTAGGGGTCATAAAATCAAATATAAGACAAGGCTCATACGAAAGAGCACAAGGATCTTAGTCGAATGTCACCAAAATCAGTTTGAACAAAATTACGATTAATTGAATCTTCTCTTGAAAAACTTTTTGTGCGCCAAAGGAGCGTACAAAAACCTAATAATCACTGACACCCGAGAGAGCAACAGATTGCTGCAAGACTCCCTAGCAATGTTAAAAATTTTTACCCGGTTTACTAAAAATAATAGCTATTAACAAAGCATATTCAACGTTTGTTAAAGCAACACGTTTAAAATGAGCAACAGATTTTGTATATGCAATTTCTGACCAGTTAACCATTCTAAAAATACATTTTTGGCTACTTTATATTTTTTAATAAATTTTTAAATTAACCTCTGATCACGTGAATATTTACTGTTTTTAAGAACGAGAGCAAGCATAACACCATCTTTACGTATCCAAGTTTCAGAGCCTAATTCCCAAGATATGTAGGTGTTTGTAAATGAAGTAAACACACAATAAATCTGCCTTAGATATGCAATCTATTTTATGTATAAAATGTTTTTAGAGTAATCGAGTAATTTAGGGCTGTGTTAGATTCGATTCGGCGAGCTAAATCGAACGGTATCACTCTGTATTGCGAAATTGTCAATGAACAATGCGTGGTGGAAAATGCATTAGTGGACAATGGTCAGTGAAGTATATCGGAGAATTAAGAGGTATACTAGGGGATTAAGGATATTTAGAGGATTAAGAGGGATATCGGAAGAGTTGTGGAGGCTTAAGGGGACTATAAGGGATATCGAGGGATTAAGGTGGAAATCACGTGATTATGATGGCTTAAGCGGATTTGAAGACAAATTAGGTATAAGAGATGTATTAAGATGGCTATCGGGTACTAATGATTGAATGGACTTAGTAAGGGCGACATTGGAGAATTTCGACATATACCAGGGGTATTCTACAAGTGATTGGACTTCATACAAGGGATTTTGACCACGGTATATTTTAATTAGTAATACGCCCTGTATCCCCCTCAATTCCCTACATTCGACGTATGTCAAAAACCCTCCGATATTTTTTAGTCCTTGCAAATAATCTTAAGCCATAAGATTACGAAGTACACACAATCCCCCAAATCCTTGATATCTCCTCAGAATCCTCTGAAGGTTGTATGAAGTTTTCAAACATAAAATATCAAGTTGACCTTATAAAGAGAGCCATAATAAATGTACATAAACACCTGATCAGGTAAAGTCAATTTTTCAAAAACAGGCATAGATTTAGCTATACTAAAACACAAGAATCTGTCAACAAAAATGCATTTTTGAAATCTACTATTAAATAATCCTTCACGTTGTACTGAAGATTCCAAACTTTTTAATTCATCAAAAGGTATTGGACTTGGATTTAGCTTTAAATAGGATTGAGTTTTATTAAAATTTAAACTAAAATTTACTGAAAAAGTGTCAGTTAAACGAAAAATATTAAAATTAGATGAAATTATTTCTTCAAACAAAATCGGGCCATAAAGAAATATATCATCCAAATCATTAAATGCATGCATAATACGTTTTTTGGCTTCAATAATTGGTAAAATTGAGTTTATTTGTTGTCGATCTTTGGTGGATATGTCGACAATTGGAGGATTTAATACCTTATAAAATAATTGAGTCAAACCTATACACTCAATACTAAAGAATGTTTGCGGATATACGGAAACCTGATATACGGAAACCGATGTAAAGCTTTCTCAGGACCTACTGGGAAAATCATTTCTGAACAAACTCGTACTTCTTTTCTACTTAAAGAAATATTCTGCTTCTTGGCCTTTTTAAATTTTCACATGTATCGGTGAAAAGGGGGCCCTTTTTGTATCAAGAAATCTTTACTATGTATTTTAATAAAAAATTTCGGATCCGAATAACCAAAATTTTGCTTCTTATATTCGATACTGATATCCGAATATTTTCCAGGATCCGCCAATCTTACAAGAGACACTTCAATTTAATATACGTTCTTTAAATTTGGTTATGGGTAGAGTAAGCTATCTAATAAGCGATATTTTTAAGACCCAAGGCTGTCGGGGGTTTTTAGAATGAAATCTTGTCTAGTAGTGTCGAGAATGCTAAATAATGTTTTATAGGGATTCGTATTGTAAAGTAGGCCCTGGAGTATGCCATTGAACTACGTTTGAAAGTGTTATAGCCTTCAAAGTTTACAAGCCTCCAAGGTTAGAAAATAACGAATTTTACTTTAATTTCGTTCCCTTTTCCTTCCATTGCTTCCCGGCATATATCTTGGCGTATATATCCAACATCTAAAATTCTTTTCAAATTATTTTTTAAATATTTCGACAAACCCAATTTTTTCATTCCAACAGAAAGACATTTTTCAAGTCTACATTTTTTACATTTTGCCAAATCTGTTTGGGATTTTTCGTTTTTATTCTCATTTGAACATTTACATTTACTAATATATTTCCATTCTTTTTCAAGATAACGCCTTTTAAAAAGATTTTTCAAAATTAAAATAAAAAATACCTGAAAAAAGCCCCACAAGCCTTACATGTACAAACTCCATAATGAAAATAAACATTTTCTTTTGACTCACAAACTTTGCATTTTTTAATGAAGTTTCTTTGCATTTTAAAACAAATTCTGGCCTTTTAGTTTTCCCTATCAAAATTTTCGCCTGCGGCTGTCAAAAAGAGAAATCTACTCAAAAAATTTTTGCCTGCGCCTCTGGGCCTCCGAGGTTTTTTTCGGCTTTTGATTTCTTGGGGTTTTGATTTATCACTCTTAATCTGGCCACCTGGTTGCTGTGATGGTAGAAATTGGTAGCAAGATCAGGGCTTTTCCTTTTAGCTCCGCAGCGAAAATTTTGAGAATTTTGGGAGGCCAAGAAGCCTGATTTCTTTTTTTAACGTTACAAAGTGAAATGGAAAATTCGACTATGTCGAATTTAAGGTTCGGGATACA